AGGCCCACAATTGGGTTATCCAACCGGGTTCTCAGTAGGGAACGAGGGAATGAGGCAAGCTATGTAATAACCATAGTCCCTTAAAGGGTATGTATAGGGGGATACTCAGAACGAGTAGGTTCTACGTACTTCACCCTAAACCCTAGAACCCTAAACCCTAAACCCTAAACCCTAAACCCAAAACCCTAAACCCTAGAACCCTAAACCCTAAACCCCAAACCCCAAACCCCAGTCCGTGTCGCGCAGGGGGCGCCCCTTCTGACAGATCATAGGGGTTGCGGCCTGTCGGTGCTTTGCAGGGCTTCTGGCTCGACCCTAAACCCTAAACCCTAAACCTCTAAACCCAAAACTCTGAATCCATATTTGCTCCTCAATGCGTGGCGCCACAGGCCTTGCCACTTCGCAGAGACATCGAAACCATGAAGCCCCAGCCGTGTTGCCTGATGTTAAAATGTCTCTCCCCGGTTAATTCTGAGTTGTTTAGGGTTTAGGGTTTAGGGTTTAGGGTTTAGGGTTTAGGGTTTAGGGTTTAGGGTTTAGGGTTTAGGGTCAGACCCCCGCATAGTACGATCCCTTCAAAATCAGGACCCCAACAAGGTACCCCTAATTTCAGAAACCCCATTGAAGAAATACAGCTGCTTGCGAAGGCAAATGTGACAGTGGGCCCTAGGATTTCATTCAAAACTCTGAGATGCGACGAAGCCGGAGCCCCCTCCGCATGCACGCTCTCCCCGCCCTCCAACCCTAAACCCTAAACCCTAAATCCTAAACCTTAAACCCTAAACCCTATAAACCCTAAACCCTAAACCCTAAACCCTAAACCCTAAACCCTAAACCCTAAACCCTAACCCTAAACTCTAGGGGCCCTCAGGCCCAAGCACGAAAGCCTCGAAGCCCCAATGCCCTGATCCCTCATCCCCACGCCAACCCAACGCCGACTCTCCACCCTCCACCCCGAAACCCTTTGTGTGCGTTTCCCAAGATTTCGGGTGTAGCATTGGGTTTAGGGTTTAGGGTTTGGGGTTTGGGGTTTGGAGTTTGGGGATTGGGGTTTTGGGAACCCATAATCCCCTCGTTTTGATAAACCCAAAACAAACCTCGAAGTCAACCCTACGGCCAAGACCACACTCCAAACGCCCCTGAACCCTAAACCCACTAAGCCGCCTAAACCCACCAAACCCCCTGAGAGGCCCCCTAAACCCTAAACGAACCATATGGTTCAGCGTCGGGCGTTCCCGGCCCCCCCCCCCCTGGGGATACCATGGGGGGGGGGGGCGGGGTAGGGGGGGGCCCCGCCCGGCTGAACCACAAAGTCCCCCAGTGACATCTGGGTTTAGGGTTTAGGGCTTAGGGAACGAAAGCCTTGTAGAAATCCCCCCCCCCCCCCCCCGGTCATACATGCCCTGAAAACCCCCTCAACCCTAAACCCTCTCCTTTAAACCCTAAACCCTAAACCCTAAACCCTAAACCCTAAACCCTAAACCCTAAACCCTAAACCCTAAACCCTAAACCCCCATGATCACCCCCCTCAAATCCCCCCTAAAAGCCCTGATACTGACCGGACCCAGGCCGATGCTTGGGTGGCCAAGATGAACGCAGAGGTGGCTGCAAAGGCCACCCCCGGGGCTTCTTTGGGTTTAGGGTTTAGGGTTTAGGGTTTAGGGTTTAGGGTTTAGGGTTTAGGGTTTAGGGTTTAGGGTTTAGGCCAGTAAAGCGGCGACCTTCCCTACTACCCCCCTCTCTGCTACCCAGGTTCCCCCCAGAATTGCGGCTATTTCGGGCTAAGCCTAGTTAAGGCGATTTAAGGGTGGAGTTTAGGGGGGAGGGCGGGGTCGGGAAACCCTTAAAATGAAGGTTTTACGGGACACTTGCCTGGCATGGCGATTGAAGATTTCAAGCTTTCTTTCCCTGTAACGTTGCGCCGCGATTGTGATGCTCCAAGCGCTACAATCTAAAGCCCTAAACCCTAAACCCTAAACCTTGAACCCTAAACCCTAAACCCTAAACCCGATTCAAGGCATAGTCCGGTCCCTCACTTTGTGCTAGGATTCCCGCTTTGTTCCATTTTTTTTTGTGGGTGAGGCCCTGTTTTCCCTCTGCTCGCAGGTAGGAAAGCTTCAGGCCTTCAAAAGCCCTCAGCCTAAACCCTAAGCCCTAAACTCTAAACCCTAAACCCTAAACCCTAAACCCTAAACCCTAAACCCTAAACCCTAAACCCTAAACCCTAAAGGCCCCAAAGGTCTCAGGCTTGAAGGGCATTTTGGCTTCAGCCCAGCGACATTCTGTTCGGGGGTTGTTGGGAGCAATCTCTCTACAGTGGATACCATTTTGTTTGTCGAAGGGTTTAGGGTTTAGGGTTTAGGGTTTAGGGTTTAGGGTTTAGGGTTTAGGGTTTGAGGTGATTAGCATTAGAGGCTTGCGCGTGGGTTTGCGTGCCGCCGACCTGTAGGCGGAAGAGAAGAGAAAGCAGGAGGAGTGCCGTCTTAGTGGCAGCGCTTTGAACATCCAGGTTTCTGCGTAGTCTGAGTTATCCCGCGTCACGAAACCCCTCCTCCTAAACGCGAAACCCTAAACCAAGGCTACCCTAAAGCCGAAGCCCTGATCCTGCAACCCCGGTTAGAACCAAAACCTTCCTCCGAGCCATCCCCCTCCCAAAGGCCCTGAACCCTAAACCCCCTGGTCTGCAACCAACGACCTAGACCCTAAACCCTAAACCCTAAAGTCTAAAGCCTAAACCCCAAACCCTAGACCTTAAAGCCCAAATGGCTGAACCTGAAATCCCGTGTGGACCAGACTCCTTCAAGCTTAGACCCTAAAGGGTTCGGGTTAGAGTTTAGGGTTGAGGGTTTATAGGGTTTAGGGTTTAGGGTTTAGGGTTTAGGGTTTAGGGTTTAGGGTTTAGGGTTTAGGGTTTAGGGTGCCAGCCTGCACCCAACTTCAACCCTCCTTTGTAAATTGGGGCACAAAAGCTTGCGAGTATGCCCAGGAGTGCCCTCTGTAGCTTTGTTCCTACACCCCAAGCCCTGAACCAAGGTTTAGGGGTCAGGAAGAACCCCCCCCCCCCTCCAGTAGTACCCTGAATATTTTTCTCTCCGATTTAGGGTTTAGGATTTAGGGTTTAGGGTTTAGGGTTTAGGGTTTGAGACGTTGCAGCTGAAGGAGGAAGAAGCAGCAAAAAAGAAAGCGGCTGAGGAGGCAAGCTTTTTGGTTCGCACTGCTGGTTGCGGAAGAGGCGAATGGCATGGTTGACAGTTTGCAAAGGGTCCTAAGTACCTATATGGGGGGGGGGGTATTTCCTACTAGAGAAACCCTCCTTTCTTTGTTTTGGTACTTAGGACTCTCTTGGTTCCATTTTAGTACATTCGAAACGCCGAAGGCCCCTCATCTGCACCCGTTGACCCCAAAAAAGACAAATCTACAGTCTTGCCAGCTAAACCCTAAACCCCAGCAACTATGACTAATTTCGGTTTGGGGCTTGGGGTTGTGTGCTTGGTATGACTACCCCTTGACATACACCCTGAACCCTAAACCCCTCTTGACCCCCACACTCCATAACCCTAAGCCCGAAAGCCAGAACCCTAAACACTATGTAAACCCTAAACCCTAAACCCTAAGCCCTAAACCCTAAACCCTAACCCTACCCAAACCCCGCAAGTAATGGGGTTTAGGGTTGAGGGTTTAGGAATTTGGGAGCCCCAAGAATTTGCCAAAATCTTCCCCGCAGCAAACTTATATAGCTATAATACGAGCTGCCCTAGATGCCCTTTCTCACTAAGCCCGAAACCTGAAACCTTAAACCCACCCATAAACCCCAAACCCTAAACCCTAAACCCCAAAACCAGGAATTCACTGCATCATCCCTTAATACCCCCAAAACATTAAACATGTAAAATCAAAAAGAGCGTCCCGAAGCTTTCAACCGTATTCCCTAAAATCCTAAATTGTATAAGTCCCCAACCACGTGACTTAGGGATACTTGGGAAGAATGCCTAATTTTTGGGCACTATAACTCCTGAGAAACTGCTAAAATTATGATTTTTGCTAGGGTTTCCCTAAACCCTAAACCCTAAACCCTAAACCCTGAACCCTGAACCCTAAACATAAACCCAAACCTTAAGTTCAGTTTGGGTGACACAGACACGCAGCAGTGCTTGTGCTCGAGGCAGCAGCCGAACGCAAGCGCAACTGGGCTCGGGGATTTTGGGTTCGTAGGGTTTGTAGGGTTTGGGGTTCAGGGCTCAGGGCTCAGGGCTTAGGGTTTAGGGTTTGGGTTTTGGGTTTGGGTTTAGGGTTTAGGGTTTGGGGTTTGGCTTTAGGTTTTTTGGGTTTAGGGTTTAGGGTTTAGGGTTTGGGGTTTGGGGTTTGGGGTTTGGGGTTTGGGGTTTCGGGCTCATGAAGGTTGCAGGGTTTCGGGGCTCGGGCATGACGTTAGGGCCCACTAAATTCGAATTACACCCTAAAATAGGGTTCCTGGAACGCCAGCATGAATCAGAAGGGCGTGCGGGGGTGCGGGCTTATGAGTAGCGTTGGCCGAATTTGCAAAAGTTGCGCCAAGAGTTCCCTATCTCCTGAACCCAAAGCCCCAAACCCCTAAACCCTAAACCTTAAACCTTAAACCCTAAACCCTAAACCCTAAGTAGCCCAACGCTGGACCGAAGTCAGAAATCCCAACCATGCAAAGTGCATCCAATGAAGGTTACGCTCGCAATGTAACGCCGGATGCCCATTTCCATTTTTGCAAGGTGAAGATCCCATTAAATAAATCCCTAAACCCTAGCCCTAAACCCTAGCCCTAAACCCTAAACCCAGAACCCCTAATCCAACTCCCTAAGCCCCAAACCCTACGCCCCAAACCCCAAATCCTAAGCCCCCTGAACCCTAAGCCCTCAGCCCTAAACCCTAAACCCTAAACCCCAAACCCTAAACCCTAAACCCTAAACCCCTAAACCCTAAACCCTAAAACCCAGAGCCAAGGCCTCTTCCGCACAAAGTCGCAGCTCATGGCGGAGGAGGAGGAAGAGAGGCGCAAGGCCGGTACTTTGGGGTGTTGGTGTTTAAGGTTTAGGGTTTAGGGTTTAGGGTTTAGGGTTTAGGGTTTAGGGTTTAGGGTTTAGGGGTGTAGGGGTGTAGGGGTGTAGGGGTTGAGGGGTTGAGGGTTTAGGGTTTAGGGTTAAGGGTTAAGGGTTTAGGGTTTAGGGTTTAGGGTTTAGGGGTTGAGGGGTTGAGGGGTTGAGGGTTTAGGGGTTTAGGGGTTCAGGGGTTCAGGGGTTTAGGGGTTTAGGGGTTTAGGGGTTGAGGGGTTGAGGGGTTGAGGGGTTGAGGGGTTGAGGGTTTCTTGAAATCATGATACAAGGGTTCAGGTCCGGGGAAGTCTCGAGGAGTTCCAAGGAAAGTTTCCAAGAGAGTTTCGAGGAAAGTTTCTTTCTATAACTTTCGAGCAATTTCAAGTTGCAGGGCTTAGGGTCCCTGAGCTATAAACCTATACCCTAAACCCTAAACTCCTCTTAGCCCTAAACAGGGCTTAGGGTTTGAGGCGACAGGGTTTTGGTAGGGTTTTAAGGTTGAGGGTTTAGGGTTTAGGGTTTAGGGTGTTTTGAACTTTCCCGCTCTCTTGTGCTTTAGGTGTAGGGTTTTAGGGTTCGGGGTGTTTTAAAACTTTGGGGTTTAGTGTTTCAGGGTATAAGGGTCTTAAGGGTTCAGCGATTTTTCACCGAATAGGACTAGGGCAGTTCCGTCTGACGCAGAAGAGGTACTTGTTGCGTACCATGGAACCTAAAACCCTAAACCCTCATCCCCGAAACCCCGAAACCCTAAACCCTAACCCATGGTCATCAGTTCAGATTTCAACCTTCAACTTATAGGGTCCTCAAGGGACGGGGTTGGGTTACAACCCTAAACCCTAAACCCTAAACCCTAAACCCTAAACCCTAAACCCTCAACCCTCCCTTCAGAGCCCTATAATCCCTAAGCCCTAAGCCGAGATGCCGGGAACGCAGTTTGGGTTTGAGGTTTCTCTGGGCTTCTAGTGCTTGTCGGATTTGGGATGTCAGGTTAGGGTTTAGGGTTTAGGGTTTAGGGTTTAGGGTTTAGGGTTTAGGGTTCAGGGTTTAGGGTTTAGGGTTTAGGGTTCAGGGTTCAGGGTTCAGGGTTTAGGGTTTAGGGTTTAGGGTTTAGGGTTTAGGGGTTATTTGGCTTCATCAGGCCGTCAGGCCTCTTTGTAACAACCCTTGCAAGGAGCGAGCAAGAAGGCAAGAGGAGGAGTTCCTGTGATTAGGGTTTGGGGTTTAGGGTTTAAGCTCTGCCGACATAGCCAAAGCCTTGGCAGTGAGAAGTCTCCCCAAATGGTTCTCGCCATTCCCTCCCCTTTTAAGGGTATATAGGCTGCTCTTACTGAAAATGTTGTGGCCTCCACTCACATAGGGCCGAGCACTGCCGGCATGCGCTGAGTCCCACTATGAAAGACATTGAAATGTTAGAGGGGGTTTAGGGTTTACGATTGGGGGTTTAGGGTTTAACGTTCCCGTGGTGCTTGTCTGGGCCACAAAAAGCCGAAACCCATGGACCCCCAAACCCTATCACGCTCACATTCGCCCTTGACTGCCAGACCTGGCACAGTCCCAGACCTGGCACAATGCCCAATCCCCTACACGCCTTGTGCTCCAAGCGCTCGAGCCCACGCGCCCGCCCCTAAACCCTAAACCCTAAACCCTAAACCCTAAACCCTAAACCCTAAACCCTAAACCCTAAACCCTAAACCCTAAACCCTAAACCCTAAACCCTAAACCCTAAACCCAGCCTGCTCTAGGAGGGTGGGCCCTTAAGCATGAACTTCTTGGGCCTCTGTCGTACGTATGTTCCTTGGGCTCATCATTTTCCCCAAACCCTAAACCCTAAACCCTAAACCCTAAACCCTAAACCCTAAACCCTAAACCCTAAACCCTAAACCCTAAGCCCTAAACCCTAAACCCTAAACTTTAACCCTAAACCCAGAACTCCACACCCGCCTCCCCAGGAGTTCGGCTGTGCTATTGCTGGCGGCTTCGAGAAGGACCGTTTGTACGAGTTCGGGTTTAGGGCTTAGGGGCTTAGGGCTTGTGGCTTAGGGCTTGGGGCTTAGGGTTTAGGGTTCAGGGTTTAGGGTTTAGGGGCCAGACCCCTGGGAGCCAAAAAGCAGAACTTCCAAACCCCCAAAAAGTACCCTAAGCCCTAAACCCTAAACCCTAAACCCTAAACCCTAAACCCTAAACCCTAAACCCTAAACCCTAAACCCTAAACCCTAAACCCTAAACCCTAAACCCTGCTGTTGGGTCATGTTTCGGAACCCTTTTTGGCATCCTGGGACTGTGTTACAGATATGGGGGGCTCACGAACATAGGGGGACCCTATAATAGGCCCCCCAAATAGTAAAGAAGGACCCCCATAAGGTACCCCCTGGGGTTTAGGGTTTAGGGTTAGGGTTTAGGGTTTAGGGTTCAGGGTTTAGGGTTTAGGGTTTAGGGTTTAGGGTTCAGGGTTTAGGGTTTAGGGTTTAGGGTTTAGGGCTTAGGGTTTAGGTTCAGGGTTGCTCAGCGAAAGTGCTCAATGGAGCGCAACTGAGGCAGGCAAGAGACATACCTCCCCCTGCCACTGCTAGCAACCCCAAGCAATGCCAAGGGATCCTAAACCCTAAACCCTAAACCCTAAACCCTAAACCCTAAACCCCAATTCAGCCCTAAACCCATGAAACTAAACCCCTAACCCTAAACCCCAAATCCTAAAGCCCCGAAATCCTGCGCGATGTGTGTTTCAGGGCGACTTCGTACTGGCCCAGAACAACATGTGCCTTGGGTGGGCACAATGGGAATGTGCCCCCAACTTCGGTTTAGGGTTTAGGGTTTAGGGTTTAACTAGGGTTTAGGGTTTAGGGTTTAGGGTTTAGGGTTTAGGGTGTAGGGTTATAGGGCTTAAACCTTGAACCCTAAACCCTCCAAAGCGTAAGTTTGCGAGAGACGCCAATGTCGCAGGTTCATGGTGTGGCTTACTGCGTCAGAGGGACGTGCAGGGAACAGACGGAACAGATGCCTCTTCCCCTTTATTCTGCTACATTCCCGACTATAATTAGAACCAGCAATACTGAAAATTTAGGGTTTAGGGTTTCGGGTTGCCCCCTAGACCCTAAGCCCCAAAAAGCCCCCGGGCCCTAAACCCTATAACCCTAAACCCTATAAACCCTATATGCCCTAAACCCTTAAAAACCCTAAATTCGCTCTCAGGTCTGTGAATGGGGAGATCATTAAACCCTTTAAGCCCTATAAACCCTCAAAACCCTTGAAAACCCTAAAAACCCTAAACCTCGATCTCAGGTCTGTGAACGGGGAGATCATTGTCAAGAAGGGCACGCGTGGGGTGGTGAGGCCTCATCTGCTTGCCCAATGGCGGCTTCGGGAAGTTTAGGGTTTACGGTTTAGGGTTTAGGGGTTCAGGGGTTTAGGGTTTAGGGTTTAGGGTTTAGGGTTTAGGGTTTAGGAGTGTAAGACCCGGAAGCCACCCTGCACCGCACACAGGGGAGCTGGACCATCCTTCGTGGAGGGCACAGGTAGCTGAAGGTATATGGTACTAACTAAGATATACCAATAGGGGCTGCTGGTCTGAGGTTTCTAAACCCCAAACCTTATGCCCGAAACGACTTCGTCTGCTTAGTCTGGAACACGTTCGAGTCCTCTTCCCCAAGAGTTGAGGGCTTAGGGTGTAGAGGGTAGAGGGGAGCCTCAAGACCTATCAAACCCAACACCCTTGGTAGAAGCCCGAACCCCTACACCCTGGACCCTAAACCCTAAACCCTAAACCCTAAACCCTACACCCTAAACCCTAAACGCAGCTCAGGGGCCCCAGTGAAACCGATCCGACCAACCGAGTCTCAGTCGCTTTCGAGAAGCGCGAGAAGGCGCGCCCCTCCCAGTCCCAACGGGTTTAGGGTTTAGGGTTTAGGGTTTAGGGTGTAGGATGTTTGGGGGTGTTTACGGTCTATAGGGTTGGGGCTATAATGTGTTAGGCGTGGTGTTAGGCTTTAGGGGTTTTCGGGTTTGGGGTGTGGATCCATGCCGTAGGCACTTGGACCCAAAAGGGACAACACAGTGGGCACTTCAGGGGCCACATTCCCATGGGTTTCGGGTATAAGGTTTAGGCTTCAGGGTTAAACCCTAAACCCTAAACCCTAAACCCTAAGGTTTAGGCTTTAGGGTGCAAGTTGCGAGATTCTTGACACTTGGAGTCCAGGGTTCAGGGGCCACAAGGATTCAGGGCTAGGGCGGAGGCTAGAACAGCTTCAGGTGTCCTTTTTCAGGCGCTCATATTACTAGCAGCCCTGAACCCCTATACCCTATACTGTTCTTGAGAGGCTTCTTAATAAGCAGAAGGTACCCCCCCCCCCCAAAAAAAAAAAAAAAAAAAAAAAAAAAAAAAAAAAAACGACAACCGAGGAAGCCACTAAACAACTATGCTCAGTATTCCATTTCCCTGGTTAGGGTTTCGGGCTTAGGGTTTAGGGATTAGGGTTGAGGGATTAGGGTTTAGGGATTAGCGTTTAGGGCTTAACCCAAAACCCTAAATCCCAGCTTAAGGGGTATAAGGAGGGACCCTCAATCTTCCTCCCCTATATAACCCCTATGTATATATTATATATATATATATATATGTATACATACCTTATGTAGTCTCTGTATACCTAAGTAGCCCCTGAAAATAACCCCTAGAGAACCCCTAGGTCCCTTATAAGCGTTGGTCCTGGTCTAGGCTGGGTATGCGCAGATCAACGTCGTGCACTTTGAGATCAAGGTCGTGCCGGGTTTAGGTTCACCATACGGCCTAGGGTTTAGGGTTCAGGGTTTAGGGTTCAGAGTTTAGAGTTTAGAGTTTAGGGTTTAGTTCATTCGGATCCCGTGAGGTGCGAGCAGACGGGGTGGGGGGGAGGGGGGAGGGGTGGGGTGAGGGCCGACATTCCCCCAATAAGGCCCTACACCCAAGCAATCAGTTCACCAGGGGCTAGGGTTTAGGGTCTGGGCTTTGGGGTTTAGGGTTTGGGGTTTAGGGTTTAGGGTTTAGGGCCACCTTACACCCCCTGGATCCTGAAACACCATTGTTCCCTCCATAAACCCTGTACGCCTCCAACACTGCTTATTGCTGCCCCTATGCTGCGGGGTTTAGGGCTTCAGGTTAAGGATGCGGTTTAGAGTTTAGGGTTTAGGGTTTAGGGTTTAGGTGTTAGAGTTGTCTTGTTCATGAGTCTGGGGAAGGGCTGGGTGTTAAGGGCTGGGGTTTGGGGTGTAGCGGTCCAGGGATCAGCCTTTCAATGAGGGCTCTCAAGGTGGCGACAGTAAACCTTCAACCCTAAACCCTAAACCCTAAACCCTAGACCCTAGACCCTAGACCCTAAACCCTAAGCCCTGAACCCTAGACCCTAAACCCCAAACCCTATATAAACCCTTGAATCAGCCGTTGGGGCCACCCTTAATTCGGGTTTTCTGGGGCCATGTCCTGCCCCATTGGGCGTATGCCATGCCGTTAAAGGTCCCCGAAAAAAGGGTCCTTGGAGGTTTAGGGTTTAGGGTTTAGGGTTTAGGGTTTAGGGTTTAGGGTTTAGGGTTTAGGGTTTAGGGTTTAGGGATCAGGGATCAGGGTTTAGGGTTTAGGGTTGAGGGTTAAGGCTTGAGGGTGTCCATGTGCAGCCCTATGCCGATGCCGTTCTGGATCTTGCAGACGGACTAGTCCGGTAGGTTTGTTTTTGCCAGGGTGGAACTGAAAGCGGTCTCTCCCTCCGACGCCATGCACGAGAAACAGGCCAGCCCATTCGTGGACATAGGTGAGTTCCCATGGGATCATGTGATCCATAGGAGCCTTGACGCAACATGAGCAGAATATTTTCATTTTTTTCTGGTTCTGCTTGCAAAGATGGTTTGGCAACATCAGTACCAGATAGCAGTCGAGCAGCAGGAGAAGCACACCCTTGGACCCTAAACCTTCAACCCTAAACCCTAAACCGCAACCTGACATCCCTCAAACCATACCCCATCAGCTTTGTTACAGCTCTCCGTGGATGCTAAGCTCACCACGCCGGGCTCTTCATTATAGGGTTCTTGAGGGAGGGGGTTTAGGGTTTAGGGTTTAGGGTTTAGGGTTTAGGGTTTAGGGTTTAGGGGTTCAAGGGGGCTACGTAACCCAATCTTCCCTATCACTCCCTTCTACTCCCTAAGCTTCCCTAAGGTTCCCCGGGCCCCTACCCTCATGAACACCCCCCCCTTCCTTAAGAACTCGATGACTTCATCCTAATTGTTGATTGTGAGTATGTGCCTTTTCTTCCTGAGAGCCCTCAAAGGTACATACATTCTTGCCCCTAGACCCTAAACCCTAAACCCTAAACCCTAAACCCTAAACCCTTGGCTGGGGTTGCTTCGAGAAGCCTGACCAAGGAACACGTTTATCGAGCTGGTGCCGGAGGAGGAGACGCCTTTACTTAAAGGGTTTTTAAGGGAGGGGGGGTTTAGGGTTTTTAGGGCTTAGGGTTTAGCATTTAGGGTTTAGGGTTTGGGGTTTAGGGTTCACGAGGGGTACCTAGAAAACCTTAGGGAAGTTTTGGGAGCGCAGAGAGGAGTATTTGTGGGAGTATTAGGGAACCTTGGGTTACATACCCCCCTTGAACCCCCCTCCCTTAAGAACCCTATAACTAGCCCTTGCCACATGCCCTCATTGAAAGTCCAGCTTGTGGGTTCAGGATGGGGTTTAGGGTTTGGGGGTTTAGGTTTTTAGGTGGGTTTAGGGTTTGAAGGGTTTAGGGTTTTAGGGGGGCTTTCGGGTTTTCGAGTTTCGGGTTTTCGTTAGGGCTTTAGCGTATTAGGGTGTTGACCCTAAACCCCCCAGGAGCATCAGTGTTCCGAAGCGCAGCTGTTCTGCATTCACCCATGGCGTTCAGGTGGTCAAGATGATTCCCTCGCTGAGATCCGAAATCTCATTGAAGTGTTCAAGTTTAGCTGGAGACTCTGCTACTACTTGATTGCTGAGAACCCCCCCTAAAAAAACAAACACACACATATATATATATATATATATGGTCACCCCCCCCCTCGACAGACCCCGGAAGTATATTTCCGGTCTGTTCAGGAAGGGGGGGGGGGAGGCACCACTCCAAAATTCCTCGAGTTTCCAAAAATCCAAAATTCCAAAAAATCAACCCAGGGTTCCGCTTCTTGGAAACTCGAGCGGGAGCCTCAAAATCCTAAAACCGAGCAAATTCCTCGAGTTTCCAAAATTCCAAAATTCCAAAAAATCCACCCCAAGGTTTGGATTTTTGGAAACTCGAGCGGGAGCCTCAAAATCCAAAAATCGAGCAAATTCCTCGAGTTTCCAAAATTCCAAAAATCCCAAAAAACCCACCCCAAGGTTTGGATTTTTGGAAACTCGAGCGGGAGCCTCAAAATCCAAAAATCGAGCAAATTCCTCGAGTTTCCAAAATTCCAAAAATCCCAAAAACCCACCCCAAGGTTTGGATTTTTGGAAACTCGAGCGGGAGCCTCAAAATCCAAAAATCGAGCAAATTCCTCGAGTTTCCAAAACTCCAAACCTTGGGGTGGGTTTTTTTGGATTTTTGGAATTTTGGAAACTCGAGGAATTTGCTCGATTTTTGGATTTTGAGGAAATTCCTCGAGTTTTTCAAAATTCCAAAATCCCAAAAACCCCCACCCAAGTTTCGGATTTTTGGAAACTCGAGCGGGGGCCTCAAAATCAAAAAATCGAGCAAATTCCTCGAGTTTCCAAAATTCCAAACCTTGGGGTGGGTTTTTTTGGATTTTTGGAATTTTGGAAACTCGAGGAATTTGCTCGATTTTTGGATTTTGAGGAAATTGCTCGAGTTTCCAAAAAAACTCCAAAAACTCCAACCGAAGTTTCGGATTTTTGGAAACTCGAGCGGGAGCCTCAAAATCCAAAAATCGAGCAAATTCCTCGAGTTTCCAAAGCTCCAAACCTTGGGGTGGATTTTTCTTATTAAAAATTAGTAAGACCCCCAATCATTTTACTAGCATTCTAAGTGATCTTCAATGGGATTCCTGTATTTGTTTAATGGGGTTCGTATTAGATTTTAAAGGATGCCTATTAAAGGACTTTATTGGGTTTAATATTGATTCCTATTCATTTTAATCAAATGCCAAATAATTGGAATACGATTCTGAGTAATTGTAATAGCATTCTTCTTCCTAGTTAGCCTTAATAAAAGTCTTAGAATTTTAATAAGCTTCATAACAAAGTTTATACATATTCCTATTAATCTCAATAGGCTTCTTATTCATTTTCATAAGATGTCTTACAATTTCTAATTGGGTTCCTTTTGCTTTGACAAGCTTCCTATTCATTTAAAAAGGCTTCTGATTAATTGGAATAGGCTTCGTATTCATTTTAACAGGGTT